TTTAAAAACTCACTACTATTCAGTAGCTTTCAACACCAGATGATCTGTGTTTGATCCTGTATGCTCCACACTGGTTTGTCGTCATTATCTGCATCGTTTATATGTCTATATTCTGATTTACCTCATTTTGTATATTGCTGTGTGTGTTACCTGTTGTTCTGTCTGTACAGCACTTTGGTTGGCCTTGTCGCTGTTTTAAGTGCTCTATAAATAAAATGGTATGGTATAACATGATCTCTCCTCAACCACCTGATGGTCTGCCAGATTATCCTTGGAGCTGATCAAAAGTCTCTATCTAAGGCCTCACTGAACTCTTCCCACATCAGAGCTTTTGCCTCAGCAACAGCCAAGGCTGCAGACCGCTTGTCCTGCCAGTACTCCTCAACTGCCTCCGGAGTCCCACCGGCCAACAAGGACCAATAGGACTCCTTCAACTTGATGGCCTCCCTAACCCAGGGTATCCACCACCGAGTTCAAGGATGGCCACCGTGAGAAGCACCGACAATCTTCCGACCACAGCTCAAGGCAGCCACTTCAACAATTGAGGTGTGGAACATGGCTCACTTGGACTCAATGTCCCCTGACTCAGCTGGGATGCAGTTAAAGCTCTCCCAGAGGTGTGAGTTAAAGATATTTCTGATGGGTTCTTCTGCCAGGCATTCCCAGCAAACCTTCAGTACACGCTTGCGTCTACCGGGCCTGTCCGGCATCTTCCCCCACCATCTGATCCAAATCAATACCAGGTGGTGATCAGTTGACAGCTCAGCTCCTCTCTTCACCCGAGTGTCCAAAACAAATAGCTTAGATGACACAACTGTAGATGAACAGATGCTGCAAAATATTCATCAATTAACACGGATTCCTCATTTTTCTGGACTGAATAAAACGTGCATTGAATTTAATGAAATGTAAACGTGAGACGTCATTTATCTTTGACCCATCAAAATGAATGCGGTCATTTATTTACAGAATCAAAGTTTAACATCAAACATTTACATTAATTTGGCAAAATATGAAAATAACAACATAATCAATCAATCAGGAAAACCATACGGCCATGATTTTCCGTTGCTTCACCACAGACATTAATGAAAACTGTACAATTATGATCAATTATCCACACGGCGGTGGATGAGCACTTTACACAGACATTTCTAAATATCTGGAAGGATTTCTACTTGAGAGAAGAATTTAAAGATGGAAAGGAAGTTTAAAGGGAGTAAAAGATGGTATGTGAGGGGAAGTGTTCACCAGAACCGACACTCTCCATTCGAACCCAGCTTTTCCTCGGTACGCTTTGGTAGGAAACTTGACTCATTACCTTTCTGAAGATTAATCAGCAGATATGGAGTTCCAGTTAACGCTACCTGTCCAGCGTCTCCATAGGATGGCTGTGACTCGTCCGAAGTAGTGACGAGATTCCGTCCGACACCAGCTCACCTCAGCAATAGCAATAATCCAACTCGGAGGAGCCTTATCATGCTGGACTTCTGTTCTCCCAAACGACTTCTCAGCACCTCACCGCACTCCTCAGAAGCTTCACCGAACTGAACTTTTCAGACTCAGCGCAGAACCGAACTGAGAGAACTAGGAAGTACCGGCATTTTAAAGAGCTCTATTTCCGGTATATTTGAGCGTCCCTTATTGGGTAATATCAACCAGACAGGGGTGTGGTTTGTGACGTAAGAGGTTACTATAAGTCAGAAAACAGCAAGAATTGTTATGGAACAGATTAAACTGTTCTCAGAGACAGAGAGAGTTTTGTTTTGGCGAGTTTTAGAAACAGGTGCCAACTCCGTTGGCGTCTGAGGATGTAAACAAGACAGTTGTTCCAACACATGTCTGCTTCGACTCCTGACCTTGGAAAACGCACACTTGCTCATTCAAAGACAGAAATCAGAAAATGCATAAAAATCTGTAACAGACCTTAACATGAATTCTAACTCTGCATAAGCATTAAAAATCATTACACTGTTTCACAGTTAATAAAATTGATTAGTTCACTGCAACATCTAAAATGGTTTGAACTAAGACACTTTGATTATCAACATTTGTAAAATAGTAATGATAATAAAAAGAGAGTGTTCTTTCACTTGATTTTCAAGAAAGAGAGTCTCAGGATGGGTGAACCTGTATTTCTGGATTCAAATCAATGAAATGACAGTTCCTGTCCCACAAGGTTCTTAAGGTCAAGGGTTTTGACCTTAGGCCTAGTTTTGACATCAGGTTAAGTTCACTATACAACTACAAAGTTAATCATCGATCTATGACCTAGGGCGTCCTGGTGCCAAGTGCACTTATGGACTTATGTTCAAACATGGTGTTCATGATGGACAAACTATGACAAGCACAGAAGTCCACCAACAGGTCTCTCTTGTAAATGAGTCCTTGTGACTCACTGAGACAAACCTGTACAAAGAAAGGTTGAATGAATCAGTGTTTCCTCTCTGCTGGTGGATAATATGTATATAATCTTGTATAATGTATAGGGGTTCAGGGTTCTTTACCTTCCTGCCAGCTCTGTTGTTGTGCAGATTCATAAGTGCTCGAGCGTCCCTCTCCTCCCTCTCCTTGGCATCCACAAAAGTTTGGCTGAAGTGAATGGCATGCTCCACGTGGTCGCTGCAGCCTCCCCAGTCGAAAGAGCCCTTTGTGTCCCTTGATGAACCCTTTTTCGTGGGATCACAGGAGCAGGTGTCCAGCTCACCATGGCTGCAGGCTCGCGCCAATGTATAAACCACTCCAGCAGAGGAGATGGCGTACACAAAGGCCACTTCTCGGCTGCCTTAAAACAAAATACATTTTTATGTCAAGCATCTGAAATTATGTCTCTGGGTATTGACTTATATAGCGTCTTTCTATCTTATCATAACACTCAAAGCACTTCACAACACAATCTGTACCTCATCAAAACAAAAAGAGACTAATCAGTGATTTATCACATTCATACACCGATGGGACACACATCGGAGGCAATGAGGGGTTCAGTGTCTTGCCCAGGGACATTTTGGCATGTGTTGCCTGTAGGAGGGGCCATATGATCCGGGTGCATGATGCCATGGGCAGGGACCGAAGGCAGGAGCCATGGCGCTCTGACCCTGGCTTACCAATGCTGGCTCTTGGGACATGGAATGTGACTTCTCTGGCAGGAAAGGAGCCTGATCTTGTGCGTGAGGTTGAGAGGTACTGACTAGATATAGTTGGGCTGACCTCAACACACAGCATGAGCTCTGGAACCAATCTCCTTGAGAGGGGTTGGACCTTATTCCACTCTGGAGTTGCCCGTGATGAGAGACACCAAGCTGGTGTAAGTCTACTCTTAGCCCCTAGACTTGGTGCCTGTGTGGTGGAGTTTTCCCTGGTAGATGAGAGGGTGGCTTCCCTGCACCTTCGGGTGGGGGGACAGGCTCTGACTGTTGTTTGTGCCTACGCACCAAACAGCAGTTCAGAGCATCCGGCCTTCTTTGAGTCCTTGGCGAGGGTGCTGGAAGGTGCGGCAGCTGGGGACTCCTTTATTCTGCTGGGGGTACTTCAATGCCCATGCAGGTAATGACAGTGTGGCCTGGAGGGGCATGACTGGAAGGAACGGCCTCTCTGATCTGAACCCGAGCGGTGCTTTGTTGTTGAACTTCTGTGCTAGTCAAAGTTTGTCCATCACAAACGCCATATTCAAACATAGGGGTGTCCATAAGTGCACATAGCACCAGGATGCCCTAGGTCATAGATCGATGATTGACTTTGCAGTCATGTCATCTGATTTGAGGCCGAGGAGCTGAGCATTCAACTGATAACCACCTGGTAGTGAGTTGGATCAGATGCCGGACAGACCCAGTAAACCCAAACGTGTACTGAGGGTTTGCTGGGAATGCCTGGCAGAAGAACCTGTCAGAAAGATCTTCACTTCATACCTCTGGGAAAGCTTCAACCACATTCTAGCTGAGGTGGGAGACATCGAGTCCGAGAGGGCCATGTTCCATGATGCAATTGTTGAAGTAGCTGCCTTGAGCTGTGGCCGCAAGGTTGTTGGTGCTTCTTGCTGTGGCCATCCTTGAACACGGTGGTGGACACTCTGGGTTAAGGAGGCCGTCAAGCTGAAGAAGGAGTCCTATTGGTCCTTTTTGGCTTGTGGGACTCTGGAGGCAGCTGAGGTGCACCAGAGGGCCAAGCAGTCCGCAGCCTTGGCTGTTGCTGAGGCAAAAGCTCAGCTGTGGGAGAAGTTCAGTGAGGCCTTGGATAGAGACTCTCAGTTGGCTCTGAGGAGACTCTGGCAAACCATCAGGCAGCTGAGGAGGGGAAAGCAGCTCTTTACTCACTGTGTTCAGTGAAGGCGGGGTGCTGTTGACCTCAGCCAGTGATGTCATGGGGAGGTGGAATGAATACTTCTCGAATCTTCTCAATCTCACCATCACATCAAATCACCCACAGTTCTCATCTTGTATTCAGTTTCAATTGTGTTGAATTTCTAATTATAGGCTTTGACTTAGAACTGTGTCAGTCTCCTCCTGGAGGAGGAACATGCAGCAACATGCATGTTTTTATGTTTTGTACATGTCAGCAACATGCATGTTTTTATGTTTCGTACATGTCAATAAAACACTAAACTGGTAAATTGCCAAAGAACAATCACTACAGCCAGGTTTTATTGATGTGCAGTAGAATAAAGTCCAGTAGAGGCGACATTACAATGAAACTATTTCTCAGTACTGGAGATTAAACAGAGGATCTTCATTATTGAAATAAAGAAGGTGAAACTTGGTGCAACTGTTTTAATCAAACTAAAGGTAAAAAAAAGTACATTTAGGGATGAATTACAGAACAACACGTGTTTCACGACAACACCACATGTACTTGAAAAGCAGATTCATTTATAGAAATCATGTTTTCACTCATTTGTTGCTGTGGTGCACGACTGCACAACTTCTGGACCAAGTGGAGTTTCATCTTCTGGGAGAACCTCACACAGAAACACAACACAGGAGGAAACTATTAAAATGCTCTTCTTGTTTCAGGGTTTTAAAACATTTAACCAATGGATTAAAAGGAGTTATCAAATTGTAACTTTTCACCACTAACTTTATTAACAAAGGCAGTCATAGTGGAAAATGAATAATATCAGGGGCATTTACTGTAGCACGTTAAATACTATGAGCAATAATTACAAATAAATTAGTGGTAACAAAATAAATCAAGTATGAAAGGCAGTCATAGGCAAAATAAATAATGTAGTAATGTGAGAAATATCAGCCATCTTTACTGTAGCTGATGTAGCTTGTATCTACAGGCGATGAGGGACATGCTGGTGTAAATTATTGTAACTACTTACACTGCCAGCCACCAGAACTTTGTTATTAACATGAAGACCCAACAATTTTCAGTCAGGTCAACTGGACAGTTTCTTTTTTTGTGCTGAAACCTTTCGCCTTCGATCCAGAAGGCTTCATCAGTCGAGGAAACACGCAACACAAAACTGATTCTTCCCCCAAACAGCTTCCTCCAAAGTGGAACAAACCAGTTATGTTTGTGCTAAGATATCTTTGGCACGCCCCCTCCTCTGGAGCCGTCCCTCTTCCTCGTCAACAGTCATGTCAAACTGGTTCAAAACCAAAAAAGTCAGAAAAAATATCAGAGCAACTTATCAGTGATGTCAGTGTTGTCTGACATGATTTCTTTATCCACCTCATACGGGTCAACTCAGACCGCAACTATTTTAAGCATGCATCTTTCTCTTGCGCACTGGACAAGAGTATCAATATACTTAGCTTTGGTCTGTCTGTAAGCCATCTTGATTGAACGTGGTCCAGCGCGACTCTACAGGGATGGAGGAAAAGCGGTATTGCGCAATACTGGTCGTGTGTGGGAACTATGGTATGGTATAAAGTTTATTCATTTTAAAAAGTACAAAACAATCCCATAACAATATAAAAAGATACAAAAGATTTAAAATGAAAGGCAGCAGAAAGAAGAAAAAATCTTATTATATCTGCCCCTTTTTTCAAACAATTAGTTCAATCACAATAATTTTCAAGTAACAGAACAAAATGAATAACTCTTTCTAATTTTTATAATTCTAATACAAAAACACACTAAGCTACTTCATATGTACTTTTTTAACAATCCAGCTTTGATCTTTTTCTTAAACGTACACATTGACTTGGCATTTTTCACATCACTCTCTAGAACATTCCACAATCCAACTCCTTGGATTGACCTCCTCCAGGGCTGCCTGTTGTCACTGACTCTGTTCATAACTTTTATGGACAGAACTTCTCAGCGCAGCCATGGAGGGAGTCCAGTTTGGTGGACTCAGGATTCATCTCTGCTCTTTGCAGATGATGTGGTCCTGTTGGTGTCATCATGCCGTGATCTTCAGCTCTCACTGGAGTGGTTCACAGCTGAGTGTAAAGCGGCTGGGATGAGAATCTGCACCTTCAAACCTGAGGCCATGGTCCTCAACTGGAAAAGGGTGGATTGTTCTCTTCAGGTCGAGGGTGAGGTTCTGCCTCAAGTGGAGGAGTTCAAGTATCTCTGGGTTTTGTTTACGAGTGAGAGAAGAATGGAGCGTGAGATTGACAGATGGATTGGTGCAGTGTCTGCAGTATTGTGGACTTTGTGCCGGTCCGTTGTGGTGAAGAGGGAGCTGAGCTGTAAGACAAAGCTCTCTGTTTACCAGTTGGTCTACGTTCCTCCCCTCACCTCTGGTCATGAACTCTGGTAAGGATGCTCCCTGAGTGCCTCCTTAGGGAGGTGCTTCGGGCATGTCTGACTGGGAGGAGACCCTGGGGAAGACCCAGGACACTCTGGAGAGACTATGTCTCTCTGTTGGTCTGGGAACACCTTGGAGTACTCTCAGAACAGGTGGAAGAGACTGTGGAGAGAGATGTCTGGACCTCCCTGCTCAAGATGCTGCCCCCGAGACCTGAGTCCAGAACCAGAGGAAGATGATGGATGGATGGATGGATGGATGGATGGATGGATGGATGGATGGATGGATGGATGGATGGATGGATGGAAGGACGGACGGAACTCTAGTACCGTGGCTTTAAAATGATAGTATTTTGACCTAAAGTGTTGTATGTGCTGAGTAAAGATATTCTAACATGAGGTGTGTGTTTTGTTTGTTGAACGTGTGTGTTTTTAATATAATTTCTTCCATGTACTTTTCATTCTAGATGTTTTTTGATTATTTTCTACTGTTGTCATCTGTGTTCTAAAACGGTTGGTTTTAGGGTCAGGGTCAGGCAATAGAAATTAATGTAAAATGAAGTCAATGCAAAGTCCCTGTAAACATAAAAAGACAAACGTGCGTGTGTGTGTTTGTGCATGTGTGTGTGTTTGTTTGGGTCCAGCAGCTAAGTTGTGCGTGTCTAACCAGGTTAATGAGGAAACACTCGTAGAACAAGGTGCTGGGTGGGAATTGTTTGAAATTAGCCCGCTGACATTGACAATAAGGAGCTTCTGAAAGAGCCTCCATGTACCGCGATAATGTCGTGTGACACGGTCGAGGCCCAGCTGGGAGGTCCAAATACCACACGGCTGATTAAAGGCCCAACATGAAACAGACTAAGTTGAAGGATCTGCCTTGCAGGTTAAATCTCAGGTCATGGGAGAGGAACATCGGGCCTTCAGGTTCCGATGTTCCTCCTTCCAGTTGCAAAGAGAACAAATGAAAAAAACTTGTCCTCACTGGAGAAGCAGACTGACTGTAGCTGCTGAGACTGGTGGCACATGTTTCATTTGTCTAAATGCTTCTGCCTCATCTGTCACAGGCTGCATTGCTTCTTAATCCCTTCAGCCACTCATGCTGCTAATCACACTTCAGCACCAGAACTCTTTGGATTTCCCACGCCAGCAGTCATTAATACAAAAATAAAACTCCCTATATTGTTTCTCAACTTCCAAAATCGTTGATCGCTCTAATCTTCTCCAGCAAATCACCAGAGAGGATAAACATGGCTGCTGACCAGACATGACTGTTTTAGGATTACTGTTGCCATCTCTTCTTTAAAAGATGTGCAGAGGAAGAGTAACGAGAATCAAGATCAAGAGAAATGTTAGGACCACCGTCAGTGCTTCATTAGGGTCACCATGGTAACTGCACAGTGTATGGTCACCATGGTAACTGCACAGTGTATGGTCACCATGGTAACTGCACAGTGGTAACAACCCTCCTGCTGACCTTGGGTCACAATCAGTGATGAACTGTGACTTCCATTAGGATGCACTATAGTAACATCTTATTAAATGCTAACGTTGAAGATGCTATAGTGTCAAGACCTTGTTACGTCACTTTATTTCCCATCCATCCAGTTTCAGAATCAGAATCTGCTTTGTTGTCATTGCACAGAAGCACAACAAAATTACATTTCAGTACAGCCCGTCCGAAGAAACACAAACGAACTACAGACAGGGTAGACGGGGTGTCTGCGGCTGCAGCCTCACTGAGAGGTGCTTCCTTTGGTTACATTAGGAAAAGGAGAACACGAGGGAAGAGGAGGTTAAAAAAAATCATACCTCACACTGTGTGTCTAACAGGACACAACGTGAGGCTGCAAACCCCCCAGCACAAAACAAAACAACATATAGACATAAAGACATGGAGCGGGGAGGAGAGCGTCTTGTTCACATAACATCCAGGAGAATTTGAGATAGTCAACCTTCCAAAGCCGACGTGGGGGAGCCAGGATCAGACATCAACATTAGTTTTGGGTCAGGCCGAGCTCTGTTAATTTCCATCTGCCTTTTACTCTCACTAGTTACATCTCATGGCGACTCCAAACAGCCAAATGGTGATTACACACGCTGAGTCGAGCTTACAACTTATCCAAGATCTATTCCTTCCTGCCAGCAAGATTCAGGCGCTGCAAGTAGCCTGCAGTTCTCAACTCAATTCAGTTTATTTCTAAAGCACCAAATCACAACAAGTTGTCTCAGGGACTTTACAGGAACATTCACATAAAAGCCAGTTAGTAAAGTTCTCTATCTAAGGAGACCAGCAGAAATCCCAGCAAGAATCTCGTGCAGCTTAGGGCTCAGCTCGCACAGCATCTGAGTGTTGGTGTTGACAGCACGGCACATTCCTTCACACGCCAGGCAGCTTCACAACGGCCAGAACAGCTGCTCATGTTGTCTGAACTTGGCGATATGCCAGGTTACCACCAACTCCAAAAAACAGAAATCCTTTGATCATAAATCCAATTATGTACAAATCTTCAGCATACTTGACCAACAATATGGACAGACATGATCTTCCACTTCCCCCAGGAATCCATCGTGTATCCAGCTGCCAGTGTCCCGTCGGGACAGGAGGGCTCTCCTTCGTCCTGTCTTCTCATTGAGAAAATTTAATCAATGATGTTGAGAGACCAGCTGACCAGATCCATAGTTTACAGTTCAGAAGATGTGCAAAAGGAGGCTCTAAAAAGGTTCACATGACAAAGAGCAGAGCAGGGAAGGAGCAGGAGGGAAAAGCGTACGCCTTCGCCAAGAGCAAGCAGGAAAAAAATAATCCAGTAACTTTCTGACAGGAAGTGCTTCTCCTCTTTAGATCCATCAGGTCCAACATGTGACTGATGGAGTTATTTCTTTACAGTTACCATCAACAACCTGAACAGAACCAACCGGACAACCTATCTGAACACAGAACCTGAAAAAGTCCTCCCATTTCTGTCCCTCGATTACCCAGAAGGCCCTGCAGCTCACCTAGTCTCATGTTCAAGTACAACATACTTACCGTTTCTGTAAAATTTCATCAAGTAATGAAACCAAAACACTTTCATGTTGAAAATTATTAATGCACACATGCATCTGATATTTAGTTTGATATTTAACTCAAATTTCTTTGTGTTTTTATTTAATTTACAGGTTGGAATTGAATGCAACACAAATCCTCACGTGGTCAAAACAGCACACTTTGGGGTGTCTGAGATGGGGTCTGATGTGTCATTATTTTTTGGGGCATTCAACAAACTGCTGTCCAGTTTCTTCACCAGTCTTAGCTGGACTAGAGTTTTCCAAACAGCATGTGGAAGACTCCATGACCTTCTCAGCAGCCGGACCTGGGAGGCTTGTAAAGATGGAGGAAAAATTAACTCCACATCGTAAAGGGGGATTTTCTCTGAGTAGAATTAAAGGGGGTAAATATTTATGCAACCACTTATCATTTACGTTATTTTTATTTCATTTGTCTTAGTCGAAATTTGATTTCACTTAAATTTTCACCTTTTTTTCCATAAAGGCCAGTTTATATTGTATAATGGAAATGTGCAGACATTTTTTGTGTCAATTAGCAGTGGCAGCCATCTTGACTTGTGTTGACTCCAAAAGTTAAACTGTTAATCTAACGGTTGCTTTCTGAGAGTTTCACTCAGATCTGTTCGTTGACTCGTGACATAATTTACTGAGAACAGACAAAAACAAAGACATGGAGACGGGCGAAAACGTCATCACTTTGCCTTTGGTGGTGGGTAATAATATACTGTCTTGTTATTTATGTTTCGTTACAGCTAAGCTCCATAATTCATGGGACACATTTAACAAAGCAGTGACTGAAAGAACTGCAGCAGCAGAGTCAGAGAACCGTTCGGCTGCCCTCAGGTGATAAACGTGCGCTTGTAAAAGGAGAACAGGTGCAGATAAAGAAAGTCCCAGCAGCACAGTGACCCAAACTGTCTTGAACAAACCAACCTTGTATAATCTATGACCTTGATTTATGACCTTGACACTGGGAGATGACAAGACAGTCCATCTAGTGATGATGCATAAATGTTTGCAGTTTAATAAAGTGATCTTGAGTGGATCAGAAGTTATGGTAGTTTCATTGTTTCCAAGGACAGGCATGGTTGTACTCACTGCGTAGGAGCAGACGTCCAAACAGGTTCTGGTCCCGACCCGTGGTGTTACAGTTCCAACGGTGGTTGCGGAACTGGTGCTGGCACTCAGAGATCCAGTCCTTCATCCCTGCCCCGATCACCTGCATGACTTTGGGGTGTTGGCGGCACAGTTGGCGCTGCTTGTTCACCAGGCCAGGGATGTTGTCGCACATGACCTGGGAGCCCAGGGTGCCCATGTACCTGCAGAGGGTCAGTGCCATTAAATCCATCCAGTGCTTAATGATATATTTTACTAACAAACATGGTCAGCTGCAAACATCATGGTCCACGGGGATTCCTGCCTGAGCTCATCTGTTCAGACAAGACTGAGGTTTTGGTTTTTGGACCTGAGCACCTTAGGAAT